GATCCAAACTGACGGAGCCTTTCATTAACATACATACATACAACATTCGCCAAATTATAGTAAGATCATGTACAACGTAAGTCGCAATGTTTGTGTTGTTTCTAGTTACTGAGGAGCAATTTCTACACCAGATCCATCTAGACGAGCAATTTGGAGCCATCGATAAGACGAAAGATGACGAGAAGAAAAAGTAAGTGTTCAAGCCTTTCTGTAATTTGAATTCTGGGGTGAAATACAATGTAAAATATAACAGGAAGGGAATACAGTGTAAAATATAAATAAATAATAATAATTCTTCGGACAAGAATGTGAGACTGAAAAAAAAAATCGGTACAAACCAGGATTCTTGCTTCCGTCTATGAAGGTTAGCCAAGGACAAGGCTGCGATTGCGTACACGTATGAGGACAGCACTCCAGTGGACACGAAGGAGGAGGTGGAAGAGGAAGACAAGGACGACGATAGCGATATGGACCTCGGTGCGTGACGGTAACGGTGTCGACGCTACGAAGTTGTTAACGACGTGTGAAATAATGGCAGGGCACACGGTAATGACGCGGTTTCAAATGCAGCCAAAAATATCAGCGCCGCTCTCTATATTAATTCTCTCTATGGGGTCGATGTGTTTTTAGCTGAGAGAGTAGCTGCTTTGTGCAGACGTGTATCGTGTGCATCAGTGAGAGTGGCAGAAGGTGGCAAGAAACTGTGTGGACATTTTTTTTAAACATGGTTTTTTCGACCACGTTTCCAATCTCGTTCGGAGCATTTCTGCGCCGGGTAGGTTTAGCGATCGTTCATCGACTTTACGCAATTGCGTTTTTGCCCGAAAATTTTTACGTGGTATAGAAATCCAGCTTCTAACGCCTACAGTGTAAATGGCGTGCGGGCGTGCGTGCGTGCGTGCGTGCGTGCGTGCGAGCGTGCGTGCGTGTGGCACTGTGTGCTAATGATAAAGACGTATTGATCGCACGCTGTGTCGAAAGCTGGCAAACGTAGTTTCTGCTCTTGCGTGACGTTGCGACCACCATGTTTCAGATTTGACGCTCGCCGTAGAAGAGTTGAACGATGAACAGGAGCAGATTTTGAATCGAGGGGCGAGTAACTATGGCGTCGCAATGGGCGATTACATCAGTGAGCCCAGGGTTCCTTCTACATAAGACGGCACAGTGGCGCCACCGCCGCTGTGAAATTTAAACATCGCCGCTTGTGAAAAACTTTCCTGTATTTAACGCCGCCGTTGTCAAAATGTGTCAACCCAAAAATATAATTTAGCATCACCTGACGTGCTTCTGCATATATCTAGATTCACTGCCATGTGCGTTTATTGAGTCATGTGACGGCAGAGACGGCAACAGCCTTTGAATCCATCGTTGGCGGCATTTTTTCCCAAACTGGGCCATTACCTTCTTTGTCGCTAATTTCTCCGCCCTCAGAAGGAATAAACGAACGCCGCTGGCTGAGTAATACCACGTGCTGCTCCCCCTAAAGCCAGGGCGTGAGCCGACATACCGTCGCCACGCGACCGCTGACCCCCGCAGGCACGGCCTACCCTGATATCTGTCCCGAGGCCGCAGCGGGCCCGGTTGCCCGGTCAATTGATCTCAAAATGAAAGCTCGCCGGACCCGGTTTAAAATTCCCACTGCATATAGCCAGGGTTCTCCCCCCGCCCTGAGCCCCCCCATGAAAAGTGCAAAGAGGCAAGAGAGCACGGGAGGCGCGCGAAGCGGCGGCAGGAGCGGACGGACAGAGGAAGGCCCCACCGGGAGGGGGAAGGTCGACAACTAGAGGGGGATGGATCCCGGGGGCCGGGTCGAATCCTGGCCACGCAGAGACGAAGTCCGCCAGCGCCTAGACACGCTGACAGAGGACAGATCGCATCTATTGACTACGAGTCAGTAGACAACATTATAGATATAGTTATATAATAATACTCCACTACCCCCGACAACTACTAGCTACATGATAACAGTACTATAAACTACTATCACAACTATAGAGTATACGTTGTGAACCTCATACAGCCTCAATTACGATGCGCTGGTCGTGTTGTAGCTGGCAGGTGCGGAGCTTCGCTCTTGGCTGCAAGTGGGTGAGATGGGTATCTCTTGCCGCCAGTCGCTGGCCCCGTCAAGATTGCCAGTAGCACGCAGCGCACCTCCACGAAGCTTGACCTCACTCAGCAATGTTCCTCATGTAGCATTCCCATTGAAAAAAAAAATTACTTGGGGGCGGAAATATTACTCCAACGAGCGGTGGGTGGTTTCAGCCAAGGGCGCCCCGTTTGCGCAACATCTAGGGCAGAAGCCTGATTTAGCAATCAACGATGGTTTAAATTGACGAAATTAGTTATGTGCAGTGCTTCATTCAAATCTGATGACGACAATGAGGATTATTAAATTTTTTGTTTACTATTGAAATAATTTTTTCGCTAAAACTTATAAATTTTTAGCTTGCCTATGACAGATCGTTCAAGATAAGCTGATGCCATGGTGCTGTCGTCGCGTATACGTCCTGTTTCCATGTCCAGCCGCTCAACATTTGCTCTCGTCAACGAATAACTCGAGAATCGTTTTTGACCACATGTTTCACAATTGCATATAAGTTATTTAGTTACTTGCTATGGGAGAGGTTTGAACGCGTACTTATTGGAGCATTGCCAGTTGACTACATTCGGCCACGTCTCACTTTTTGGGCAAAAAATGAAGAGCCACCAAGTCAGTGCAGGTTGCAATGTGGTTTTGCTCATTTCTGGCGAGGTTGTGAATGGAATGAGGGACTGGCCCCGCAAACATATCACACGGGTTTTGATTGTTTTTTTAATTATGCAAATTGCGCTAATTTGTGGCCAATTTTAGCTATGCATTTCATGTGTCTGCCTACGGTCAACGATAAACTCAAGAACCGTTTGACCCACATGTTTCAATGCATGCAGTTGTTACTCTATGGAGAGATTTGAATTCGTATTTTGGAGCACGCCTGAGTCGACCTACTTCGAGCCATGCCCACTTTTGGCAAAATGAAAATGGCCTCTAATTCATTCGATTTTGTTAAATTTTGGTATGTGAATGTGTAAGGCTAGCCCCAAAACAGTTGTTACTCTATGGGAGAGATGACAACGTCCTATTACAGTTTATTTCGTCTAACTGGTCACAACTCTACAATCATACCTATATACGTGTAATATTGTGTTTTAGATTCTTCCTTACAGTAAATTTGACTGGAATATTATATATGTTTTTTATTTGCGCTGATATTCGAATACCAAAATGGGCGATCATTTAGGCGTAGCGCCATCTCTCGTCAAGATTTCAGACTTTCAGAAATCTGAAACATTTATTTCCCATCAAAAACTTATGCAATATAATCAATTATCAAGAGTATATAATTGGGGATAGTGGCTATATAATAGAGTTCATATATAGACTCTTGCTTTATATTCCCCTCCCTCTTCTATCACACCCAAGGTGAGCTACAGTGTCATCGACACTTTCATTTTTATAAAGTTTAAAACTCATGACACAATAACTGAAGGGCACATCTTTCTCTGGCTCCTGTCCAGGAAAAGGTTGCTGACCTCTACCCAAAACGAAGGGCATGCAGGAGTGCTGTGCATCCAGAGTGCATCATCCTTTGTATTTGTCGCCTCGGTCATGTGCGGTTTGTCGTTTTATTCAGCCTTAACTGCGAAAAAGGATAGGGATGAGACAGAGGAGCTGCGAAGACAGAAAGCTGGCAGGAGAGGAGAAGGCAATATACGCAGTACGTTGAAGAACCCTGCATGCAGCACGCGAAGCGCTCGTCATCTACTAGTTAATGTCACAATGCTGGGTTGCTGATGTGGTGTGTTGTGGTTGTGGTGTGTGTGCAGTGCAATGTGGTGTGTGTACATGCATGCGTAGACACCTGACGCGGTGTGTGTGTGTGGTGCGGTGCTAATCTGTGTGTGTAACATGCATGCGCGGGTTGGTGCGATGTCGTTAAACGTGTGCGTACGCCGCTTGGACTTCTGGTGTGGTGGCGGTGTGGTGTGTGTGCGTGCAATCACATTTTTTATGTGGTGTGGTGTGTGTAGTAACAGTGTAGACAGCTTGTGTATGTATGCGTGTGTTCTTGCAATGCAAGTCTCTAATGTAATGTGCAGCATGTGCCAGTACTCATACTAACCAGTATTGATGGATCGTTGTTGTGACAAGCTTGTGGATAACTTTTGTGTGCAGGGCAGAAAGCCCAGAAGAGAGCGGACGAGCTTTTAGAGAAAAGCCGATTAGCAGCGAAGAAAACTAAGCCCACACCAACAGGTAAACCTTGCCACTATATCGACACACTCCATATGTCGCGGGTTCAAAGTTGATTGCAAATGTTAGACTTAAGAGACAATGTAACTAGCGAAGAGTTTGTATGAATGTAAATTAGATTTAATTTCTAGTACTGATTTTGTAATCATTGTTAAGATTCTTCGTTCATCATTCGTGAACAACAATTTAAAAACTACTGGAAATTTTCCTGATGTCACTATGTTTGTTGCCCGTTACTGCACAGAGACCAAGTCCTACATAATGCAAGCGTAATACATAGGTAAGTCGCTGGAATTATGTGCTGCTACATACATGAACTGTAGTTCATTCCGTTACCATGCTTCAGAAATTGAGTTTAGCCAATTGTAAGTGTCGCTGAGTAATGTTTAGTGCCAGGCTATCCATCCGTCACTTAATGCATCATACCGTGTGTTGTTCCTACTCCAGTTTGCTTACAGTATCTATGAGCATATAATACGTCGACGTATTCGGCGATGTGTTTCTCAGTGTTACCGGGGCTCATAGGGTCTATGTCCCCCAGGGTACTGCTGGAACGTACCTGGGTAACGTCGGACCGTACCGCTGGTAACTATTGATATGGTTATGGGTTTACAGGAGAGGCGTAAGGCGTACTCCCTAGACTCGTTGGTCGAGTACGAGTACGGTTCCGGCATATTAGGATATGTACCAGGGTACGTCCGGTATACCGGACCGTACCCAGGAGTAGTTACGGGAGTATCTCTGGGAGACATGACCCTCTCAGCGTACAGGTTACGTTCTATTTGCGCGCTTCTAGCGGTATATTCTGATGTGTGTTACTCGGGAATGCTCAGCGTATTTATTGTATGGTTTGTGCGTCTGTATTTGGCTGTACATTACTTCGTGTTGCCCACCACATCTATCAGCTCTCCGTAGACGTATTCAGCTGTGTGTTACTCAGGAATTTTCATCGTATTGATGCTATTATTTAATATAAACTTTTTTAAATAATTACTATTATTATTTATTGTATGTTTTTTAAATTTATATTATAATGTTCAGCTGTGTTCGTGCATGCAGCATTGGTTCATTGCCTCGTTCCCTGCCACACACTACTACTCCTGCGTCGTCCTGCAGTCCATCACGGTATGTGTAACGTGGTACTGTGACATCGGTGGTTGCCGTGTATTGCAGGAAGTCGATGTCGCGCTCGCGTTCCCGCTCTCGCTCGCCGCTCAACGCCGGACAGATCACGTTCATCACGAGCTTCGGACACGACTCGGACGACGACAACGCGGGGGCCGCCACGTCGACGGCCCCACTCGTCGTCCAGGGCCCGACGCTGCCCGCTCACCTGATGCCGCAGCCCGAGGCGGAGCCGTCACGGTGGGTGCCCCGCGCGCGACGCCGCCGGGAAGAGCAGCGAGGGGAATCTTCCACGGGATGCCGACGGGATTTCCCGGGGACTCCGCTGGTTTTTCGTGTTCGCGCGAGCGAGATGTTTGCTGGTCACACGGCGGGAAACGACGTGATTGCAAATTCTTGAACGAATCACTCGCGAGTTAATTCATGAGTGTGGTAGTCGCGGATTTTGCGTTGGCGGCAGAGTAGGGTGCACTTGTCTTGGAGCACTCAAATACCAGGTTGAAATAATATCGGTAAATGTCATCTTGCATGTGCTATAGCCTAGGCAGCCCTCGACACTAACGGTTGTCCGATTGCCCGGGACAAGTTGCACGGCAAACGTTTTCAAAAGTCGCTGATAAAAGCAGCCCGCGACACCCACTGTTACCATTATAGATTTATTCAGAGCAGCAGCGCGTACCTCCCTGGCCGGGGCGGCATTGATTGATGTACTGGGGAGGGGGGTACGATTGTTTATAAGTCGCTTGGGGCATGTTCATTACTGAATATGTAGGGGGTAGGCACAGCTGGGATGAGAGGATGGCAGCAAAACTCTTTCCTGGGATTGAGGAAAAAGCTGCAATCGGGAATGACACAATGAGCGTGCCGGCATGCAAAAACAATGTGTGAATTTTATTTCGATTTGACATGTACTGTATTTACTCGTGTATAAGTATTATTCGTTTGTAAGTCGCACCCCATATTTTGCCTTGAAAACTTGGTACAAACATAGGTACATTCACAAGATTTAGCCTCGTCTATAAGTCGCACCCCCTGATTTTTTTTATTGAACTTGTGTACACGAGTAAATACAGTTTATACTGTAATATCAGGCGTGTATAATATAGATATATATCTATATCTATCTATATATGTTATATATGTATATAATTATATTTATATATCTATTTATATAACATATAGATCTCTATATTATAGACTCCTGGTAATATGATATGCACTGAACCAAAATGGCTCATAGATTGCAAGTAAATTTTGGACAAATTGTTTAAAATCAAAATTCGGACAAGTAAAAATTGCTTCTTGTTGCACAACAGGACAACCAGATCTGAAAATAAGCATCGAGGCCTGCTAGTGCTAGGTGCCGATTATCAGAATTATCATGAGTAGTTATGACATTGGAAAATGAAATGAAATGTGATGCAAAAGTTATGATATTATATTATTATATCCTGTTAGTTAGTGAGTTACTCCTGTGTAAGTAACTTGCTGTATTAGTATAGTGAATGTTTAGATATGTTATACATAATTATGATGTTTCTGTTAACGGGCCGCAGTTATTTGAGATTCTTCGATAGAATTAGAATTATATATTGTTTAATTATAACAGTGACGCTAAGAAGGCTTCAGCTTCGTCCCAAACGAGGAAGAAGATGCGGTACAGGAGTCGTAGCTGCTCACGATCCCCATCTACAAGTCCCTCCCATAGATACAGAAGGTAATCTCTCTCTCGCACTCTCTCTCTCCCTCTCCTTCCCTCTCCCTCTCCCTCCCTCTCCCTCTCCCTCTGCCTCTACCTCTCCCTCTCCATCTCCCTTGCTCTCCCTCCCTCCCTCTCCCTTTCCCTTTCTTTCTCCCTCTGATTGTCGATTGCCAATTGTTGTTGCCGATTGCCGGTTGCCGAATGTTGATTGTTGTTGCTAATTGTTGATAGTCGTTGTTGATTATTTGTTTATTTGTGTTTCGCCGCAGGTCTACGCGGGATAGTCATCGGCGGCCGCGGCGAAGGCGAGGGTCCTCTCACTCTTCCCACTCGTCATCTCGCTCTCGCTCCGCCGGTCGCTCGCGTTCTAGCTCTGCTGGATCGAGCTCCTCCTCCTCAGTCAGCCGGGAACGTCTGCTACGCGATCGATTCCGCACGCCCTCGCCAGAGGTCGCCGGCGGGAGCGTCGCCACACCGACGACCCACAACCATTCCAGGTTCGTCCGTTGTGGGTTTGTTGCGGGTTTGCTTGTTCTGCGTTTGTTTGTTCAACGTTCATATGTTTCGTGTTTGTTTGTTTAGGGGTTCGTTTCTTCTGCAGTCATTTGTTCCCTGTTCGTTGTTCAGGGTTTGTTTGTTCCAGGTTCTGACATGGCGGTGATAGTAAATCGTTATCCCACGTCTCGTCCGACGCTGACGCGCGCTGACCCAGGTCCATATTGTTTCAGTTCAAAGTCGCCGGCCCGCCGCAGTCCTTCAGGATCAAGGTCAAAGTCGCCGGCTCGCCGAAGTCGCTTGGGGTCAAGGTCAAAGTCGCCGGCGGTCGTCGTCAAGCGCTACCGGCGACCTTCGACCCCCAGCAGCTCATCGGGGGAGAGCTCAACGGCAGCGCGGGACGACGACGCGGGCGAGGCACCAGGTGGCGCCGCCGGCGGTGTGAAGAACGGAGGCAACGAGGGCGCTGATAAGAAGTCGGGGTAATTCTCTCGCGAGGGAGCGGCTAGTTGTCACTGTGCTGATAGCGACAATAGTAATCGTAAATATCCGTTCGTATCGTCATCAATAGTAATAGTTTGACTTCCCTGCGAAGACGCATTCTATGTAATATATGCTAATGTTTGCATATGAGGGTGTAGGGTGGTGTATATATATATATATATATATTGCACACAGGTACATATGTCTGTGACCATTTGTTCTTGTTAATTTGGAGTTCAGTAGTACTGATATTTATCAATTAAAATGTGCAACAATGTCTAGAAATTAAGTGAACGTGTAAGCAAGAAAAGAGTATGGCAGTAAATATCAATTTAATTTGATTTCTTATAAAGTTTCTTTTATTAAGTTTTTTAAATAGTAGCCACTCGGTGAACACGCTCAATTCCTGTATAATGTCTTTGCCTTGCTTGTGTTGCAGGTCCAAAGGTAAAGCAGCAACGGCAGGTTTTGCAGATAACAATGTCAGTAAGAACTTCTCTGTCGTTTTCCGCTCGTTTCTTTGAGACTTTAGGTGTCTTTGTGTCGATGCTCAAACCCTCCACAGCCCTCCGTTTACAGCTCATGCCAGCTGTCAGAGAGAGAGAGAGAGAGAGAGAGAGAGAGAGAGAGAGAGAGAGAGAGAGAGAGAGAGAGAGAGAGAGAGAGAGAGAGAGAGAGAGAAGAGAGAGGGAGAGAGAGAGCGAGAGAGGTAGAGAGAGACAGACAGAGAGCAAGAGAGATAGAGAGAGACAGAGACAGAGAGAGAGAGAGAGAGAGAGAGAGAGAGATAGCGAGAGACAGAGAGAGAGAGACAGTACTGGTGTATGAATATTTGTCTTTTAATTACACGGTAACGAGAGAAAGAGGGATGATCGTGAAGGCACGATCGGGTTGCGCGGGGTGGAATGTTTCCGCGCGAGGCGTGAGCGTACTTGCCGCGGTCGTTGCCCACAACAGCGACACAAAGACACCTAATCGTAGCGCAACCCTTCCTGCTCGTTAGCAAGCCGTGATGACGCGCGTAACCCAACAGCGATAGTAGCACTAACCCATCAACCCTAGTCACTAACATCCGATCGGTTCATGCGGGGGTCGGTTGCGAGGTCGCTGGGGTCGCTGTCTTGTGGCGGTGGATGTGTCAGTGGGAACACTTTGTGGATGCTGAAGTTTCGTTACCTTCGACTCCCATGAAAAATTCTGAACAAATAATTCCCCGCCCCAAAAAAAAGAGAAATTCGCGAACTATTTTTTGGAATTCACATTGGGCAATTCTTTTCGGGTAAATGTATAAAACTAGAAATCAAGTGTGCAGTCCTACTGGCATAGAAACTGAAGGAACATGTCATGATGTGAGATGTTTGTGCAGTGCTGTAAACCGTACAATCCCATCTTCACGCCTGTTTCACTGCCAAACAAATTCAACTGTTGCCTAAGTTGTTATTTTCTAAACATTACGTTGGGCTGTTTTTTAAAATTTATATATAATGTGTATCACTCTGGCACGGCATGGCAGGCGAAACGTTTCGTTGTCATCGGATACACACAAGTATCGCCCTCTCTTGGTGTAAAACGTCACTAGTAATATAGCATCTGCTGTCCAGCACTGCAAAATACAAATCAGTACTACAATTTCTCGGTCACAAATTTCGTAGAATGGTGTAGAATGGTTGCCCCCACCTCTCCCTCGCCCACGTATATTTCCGCGGAGTGATTTATGGTTTACAGTTGCCTGCACGCGCTGCACACGTGCATGTCTGTGTCGACCTCATAGTCCCCTTATTCATCAAAGGTCACATTAGGTTGCGCGCGCGCGCTCTGACGATCGTGGTTGCAGCGCCCCCTGCCGGTTTAATGAGATGTCGCGTGTCCCTTTTGCAGAAGTCGAGTCTGACACCCGCAGAGAAGCTGAAGCGTAAGATGCAGCTGGCTCTTCAGAAGACGCGTAAGTGAGCGTTACTCGCACGAAGCGTGCCCCCGTCGTTGTCTTTACCTCGCGTATGTCGTCTGTGTTTGTGCCGTACGCAGACTGGTCAGCTCACGGACTGCAGTGCATGTGTTATAGTCGGCTCTTAGTTAGTCGTCTGCTGTCTGTTGTGCGTGTGTTGTTGGTATTTTTAACTGACTCATGCATATATCATCTAATCTGTGTGTTGTTGGTATTTTTGACTGACTCATTCATATGCCATCTAATCTCTGTCTGTTGTTGGTTTCTGTATACTGACTGTCATTCTAATCGGTGTGTGTGTCGTTGGCTTCTGGATACTGACCATTGTTCATATGTTAACTAATCTCTGTGTTGATGGTTTCTGGGTACTGACCTTTGTTCATATTATGTTAACTAATCTGTGTGTTGGTGGTTGCTGTGTACTGACTGTGAATGATCGCTCATGTTGCTGTCTTTAGCCAGCTTTGTGTGTGTTGTGGAAATTAGGCACTTAACCTTCTGTTACCTGCACTGCATGCATTGGTGGTTTCTGAACTACATTAAGCACCGACAGTGGCGTTTGTTTATTTCACCCCAGTATGTGTTATTATTGCTGATCAATGACACGTGATTTAGAAGGCTGGTGTAATTTCATTTGTAATGCATTTTCCTTTTGGTCAATTTTTGGCTTGATTTAGACTATGTAAACATGTTTAAATCATTTAAATCAACACTGCTAGTTGCTATTATTTTACTGGGTTTTTAAAGTATCAAGAACACAGTGTCGTTAACATAATCGTTCTTCTCAAGTTTACAAGTGCATAGTTACATAATTTTCCTTCACATCCATGTGTCTGGGATAAAGTGTTAATCTTGTCGTGCTCTTAACGTTTTACCTTAATTGTAGTAGATTCGAATCTGAAACCTATTTCGTGAAAAATTTGTTATCACTTGCACTTCAAGACAGGCATTATATGTGACAGAATTTCACTTCATCATAATTTATCACCGCACTATACTACTATTGATTATTGCACATATTTCTCAATGGTGCTCTTCTTAGGCGTGTGTATACGTGCGTGCGCGTGTGCGTGTTGTTTACTCTGTCTACATTGGTCCTAGAGGTGCCTGGTGGGCACACTTACTTGGCTCACCTCCCGCATCCTTCCCCCTCCTTACCACATCCCTCCCCCCCGATCGCTCGCCTTCACCTCTCCTGTGTCTTTCAACCAGACAAAGCGGACAAGCGCACGGAGCAAGAGCGAATGAAGAAGCAGCAGCAGGAGCAGATGGTACGTAAGCGTTCGAGGTTTCGCGGGGACGCGCGTCAACTCGCGTATCTGCTCTCGCCGCTGCTGCTGCTCCCCCGTCCGTCCCTTCGTCTACGCAATTACAAACACCCGTGTGATTCTATCAGTCTGTCCGTTCGTCGCGCGCTCTCGTCGGTTCGTCTCGTTCTCCCCGCGCGTCGTGCGTGTGATCACGACGCAGACGCAATCGTGCGTGTGAAAGGGGCCGTGTGGATCTTGTCGGTTCCTCCCTTCGTTTGTTCGCCCCCACGCTCGCGTCGACTGCATCCCTCATTCTCTCGGTGCGTGTGTCCGTCGGTCCGGGATGCGTATGCTGCTGCTGATGATGATGATGATGATGATGATGATGATGATGATGATGATGATGTCGCTGTTTGTGCGGAGATCGCTACGAGTCTCACGCAACCGCGGCGAGCTTGATTAAATTCTTGATGTAGTTTCTGTCTAACGTGTGCGAGATACTCTCGCTCGTGCGGCGGCGGCGGCGGCGGCGGCACAACGTTTCTCTCGCGTTTTCGCTTTCAAAAGTGTAATCATCGGATCGAGTTGCGGATCGCGATTAATTCCGTGAGATCCGCGGCGGTCGGCGCGCAGATATTGGATCTGTAAATGCCCCGGCCGTGTTCACTCTCATTGTTACTCTCTGTTAAGGCTCATTGCTTGGCAGTTTGTTGTACACGGAGTGATACTTTTAGTATTAATGTTCCGCGCACGCATTTCGTTTCAGGACCGGGAGGAGGAGTTAAGAGAGATGGCGATCCGGCTACGAAAAAGGTGAGCGATCGATCCGGGGGCATCGTCGTAAATGTGTAGATAATATGCTAGGTCCATAATGTATTATCCATATACGTAATAACGGCGTGCAAAAGTCATAATCCGAGACATTTGCGCGTCGAAAATATTCGTATTCTGTAATGAGTAGTAACTTAAAAGTCATCTATGTTCGCGCGCGAGACGTAACCCTTAGCATTCCGCTTGTGTTTCGAGCGACAGATTGCAACCTTGACCGTGTGCGACTTGCAAGCCTCAGCTGAATCTGAGCCCACGTGCCTCACTGAGACGTGCTACCCCTGTCTAAACCCATGTGTCTCATTTTGACATAAGCCAACATGCCTCTTTGAGCCGAGACCTTCCCGGTTGACCCCACACATGGGAGTCAACACAACCCCTTCTCTCACCCTCTCGCATTGAGTCACACTACCCATTCTCTCACCTCCTCACATAGTTACATGCCCCCTGTCTCACACCCTCACATACAGTCACACGCCCCCTGTCTCACCCTCTTACATACAGTCACACGCCCCCTGCCTCACCCTCTTACATACAGTCACACGCCCCCTGTCTCACCCTCTTACATACAGTCACACGCCCCCTGTCTTCACACCTCTTACATTACAGCCACACGGCCCCTGCCTCACCCTCTTACATACAGTCACACGCGCCCTCCTGTCTCTCAACGTCCTCTTATAACATACAGTCACACGCCCCCCTGTCTCACCCTCTTACAACAGGTCACACGTCCACCCCCCTTCTACACCCTCACAACGTACACGCCCCCCTGTCTCACCCTCTTAACATACAGTCAACCTAACGCCCCTGTCTCTACCGCTCTTACATACAGTCACACGCCCCCTGTCTCAACCCTCTTACATACAGTCCACAGCACACGCCCCCTGTCTCCACCCTCCTTACTACCAGTCACAACGACGGCCCGCGTGCCTCCCTCGTTACAATACAGTCACACGCCCCTTGTCTCTCACCCTCTGTACATACAAGTTCACACCGCCCGGCCCTGTCTACCCTCTTACAATACAGTCCACACGCCCCCTGTCACCTCTTACATACAGTCACACGCCCCTGTCCTCACACCCTCACATACGTCACACCCCCTGGTCTCACCTCTTACATACAGTCCACACGCCCCCTGTCCCCTCACCGCTCTTACATGACAGTCACATGGGACGCGCCCCCTTCTCACACCCTCACATACAGTCCACACAGCCCCCTGTCACCCTCTTAACATACTAGTCACACCCCCAGTCCTCACCCCTCATTACATACAGCCACAAACGCCACCCGCCGCCGCCTGTTCACCCTTCTTACATACAGTTCACTACGCCGCCACTGCCTCAGCCCTCTTACATACAGTCACACGCCCCCGCGCCGCCCTGTCCTCACCCTCTACATACCAGTCACACCCGCCTGTTCACCCTCTACCATACAGTCCACACGCCCCCTGTCTTCCACCTCTTACAGTACAGTCCACGCACCCCCCCTGTCTCACCCTCTTGACATACAGCACAACGCCCCCTGTCTTCACCCCTACATACAGTCCACACGCCCCCCGATGCTCACCATTTACAATACAGTCACCTCGGCCCCCTGGTCACCTCTTCAACATAAGTCACACGACCCCTGCCTTCACCCTCTACATACAGTCCACACGCATGGATAGGCCCGCCTGCCCACACCTCGATTACATACAGTCAACAATGCTCCATAACCCCCCTGTCCTCAACACCCTACATACGATCACACTCCCCTGTCTCCACCCTCCGTTACATACAGTCCACACAGCCCCCTGCCTCACACCCTCTACATACAGCAACACGCCCCCTGTCCCCTTCTTAACATACAGTCATCACAACCCCCTGTCTCACCACCCTCTCACATACAGTCACACACCCCCCTGGTCTCAACCCTCTTACATACAGTCACACAACCCCTGTCACACCTTACATACAGTCAACACCCCCCCTGCCTCACCCTCTTAATCATACAGTCACACTCCGCCCTGCCTCACCCTCTTACCATACAGTCACACGCCCCCATGCCTCACCCCGTTAACATACAGTCACACGCCCCCCCCTGTCTCACCCTCATTACAATACAGTCACAAGCGCCCCCTTTCTCACCCGTCTTACATACATCACAGAGCGCGCCCCGCGGTCCCCTCACACCCTCTTACTTACAGTCACGCACGCCTCCCCTGCTCACACACTTACATACAGTCACACGGCCAACCCCTGTGTCACCCTCCTTACATACAGTCACACGCCCCCTGTCTCACACCCTTCATACAGTCAACACGGCCCCTGTCTCACCCTCGTTACAATACAGTCACACGCCCCGCCTGTCTCACCCTCTTACATCCAGCACACGCCCCGTGCCTCACCCTCTTACAACAGTCACGACGCCCCCGTCTCACCCTCGTGGTACATGTACAGTCAAACGCCCCCGCCTCACCTCTTACATACAGTCACACGCCCCCTGTCTTCACGCCTTTACATACAGTCCACGCCCCCTGCCTCACCACTTACATACGTCCACACGCCCCCTGTCTCACCCTCTTACATGACAGTCATCACGCACCCCCCTGTTCCACCCCGTTACATACAAGTCCCAACGACGCCCACGTGCCTCACCCTCTTTACATACCAGTCACACGCCCCTGTCCACCTCTTACATTACAGTCACACGCCCCTTTCACCCGTCCTTACAACAGTCACACGCCCCCATGCTCACCCTCTGACATACAGTCACACGCCCTGTTCACCTCTTACAACAGTCCAACACGCCCCTGCCTCACACCCTCACAATACAGTCCACAGACCTCCTGCCCTCAGCCTGATCATCTTTTCCCATTATCTTGTCTCACCCCCATACCAAGAGTCGCATGACCCTCCCCGTCTCACGCGTCTCGTTGTCTCGCAGGGAGCGGGAGAGGCGTCACCGAGAGTGCCACGAGGACAGCAGCGACTCGGATGGCGGCGACGCACGCAGCCGCACGCCGCCCTCGAGCAGGGACGCGACCCCCGAACCCGTCGCCGCCCCCGCGCGCGAGCGAGACCGCCCCCTGGCGACGGCGCAGACCAGCGGCGGCAGCGGCGGAGAGAGGTCTCACGAGGCGAGGGTCGCGAGACCGCGAGACGACGACCGCGCGAAGGAGAGGCGGAGGGACGCGGGCCGGGAGCGGGAGCACGACCGGGATAGGGAGCGGGAGCACGACCGGGATAGGGAGCACGACCGGGATAGGGAGCGGGAGCACGACCGGGAAAGAGACCGGGATAGGGAGAAGGACCGGGAGCACGACCGGGAAAGAGACCGGGAGCAGCAGCGGGACAAGGACTGGGAGCGTTCCCGTGACTACGACGCTCCGGGCCGGGAGCGAATCCGGGATCGACCGCGAGCGCGCGACCACGACGCGTACCGGGATAGCCGGGAAGGCCGCGGGAGAGACCGGGACTACGACCGCGGCGACTACGAGAGCGCGCGGCGGGAGCGGACGCGTGGCGACGTGCGGGAGAGGGAGAGGCCGGCGCACGGCAGCGAGGAGAGGGGCGGCCGAGAGAGGCAGCGCGCGGAGGAGAGGTCCCGGGAGCGGGAGAGAGACTCGAGGTGAGTGAGGCGACGGCGTGATGAACGCGGTCAGACCGTGTGTTAGCGGCCTCCTGTGTAGAAAGGCCACCTGTCTATAAGGGTTGCTTGTTTTTGTTTAGTGGCGAAGTGGTTAGTGAGTGAAATTCTAAAAACTATACATGTACTTCTGTGGCTAACGGCTGTGTCAATAAATGCCACTTATCGTTTCCCTTGAGTGGCAGTTACGCAGTAAAACCACCTGTATAGAATGGTCGCCTTTCCATAACAGCCACTTTTGCCGTTCCTTATGTGCAGGTTTGATTGTATTCTATTGAGGTTTGATTATGATTTAACGACGCGCTTGTCAAGTAGTCAGTGTGGGTAACGTGGGTATTTTCTACATCCATACTCACTGACGACGTTCCGTTTTCGTTTGTGTTGTTTTATATTTTTGTTGTTGTTTGTGACCGTCACCCACGAACCCTAACCCACAATTCGACGTCAGTGTGTGCTTTCGGCTTCCGGGTCACATTGCGACTTTTGGAATTCATCGAGCGAGATGCGGGCGGAAGTTTCGAAAGAGAATCTCATGATCATGGTTCAGCAATGCAAATCATTACATCGTTTACATTGTTTATATTGCGTGTTGCATTAGGTTGTGCTCACGCTTGAAACTGAAAGGTAAAACGCGAGGTGCACTGGAATCTGGTGATGTTAGTTTGCCGACGATAAATTCGATTCTCTGAATGATGTGTGTGTTGTTCGTACGATCACACCGCCGGCTGTGAATGTGTAGCAGGGGTAGAAATTGACTTTTGAACAACCAACGGACTCCCTATCCTCAAAAAGAGGGAGTCCGCAGCAAAATGAGGGAGTCCGCAGTCTGAGGTTCAAAATTAAAGATATTAACAATAACGCATGTGCTTATTTTTAAGATTCGTGCAGTTGCTCGTCTGCCAAATTTTCTTTGGACATTAGCTGAAAAAATACAGTAATTCTGCGACGCCGTGCTCCGAAACGAACTAGTTAGTATGGCAGAATTTTCAGGGAGTCACACGGACTCCTGCATATGTCAAATCAGGGAGTCCGACAGTAAATCAGGGAGAATTTGACTGCGGGCTCCCGTTAATTTCACACCCTGAGTGTAGTAATGTTCACCGTGGATCTAAGACTGCATTGATCATTTCTCGTAGATGAATTTTGGTGTCGTGTGTATGACACGCGTGTGCAGGTGTCACTACTGCTGTGAGCTTTCTACGTCTAGTTAAGAGCAGCTACGTACACTGTCACTTGTTGTCAGGAAATATCAGCTCGTACCCCGGTCCGGAATCAGTAACTTTTGTGCGGAACTGGCAAATTTTTTTTGAATTGTACTGTAGGTAATATGGTGGAAATCTATGTTTCGAAATGCTCCTGGCTTGGGTTTCAGAGTTTCCATTACTGCTTAGTGTAGCGGAACAACTCTTATATAGCTTTGATATATACAGTGTATCTATGGAAACAATTTGATATCTGCATTGAATATAGTAGTATATGACGAAACAATCTGTACTGAATTTGGCAAAAGGATTCGATGCCTGCCTGAATGCATAGAGAAGGTTTCGAAACACGTTTTAGCGTGTATTTTGAAAACGAAATTCACTGGAAATCTGAAATTTGGCCTCAGAAGAAAATTCTCATTCTCTTCCTCCCCCTCTCCCTCCTTGTCCTCTCTTTTCTTCCTATTCCTTTCACCTACTGCGTTAAATTCCTCCTGCTCCTCATCTCCTTCTCTTTATCCTGCTCCTCCTCCCCCTTCGCCCCTCCCTCCCTCCTAGATCTCCCTCCTCCCTCCCCCTTCCTAGATCTCCCTCCCCC